GCTGTTCGGGAGGCAGACACACTCTGTCAGTTTAAATCTAGATTAAAGACCCATCTCTTTAACCTGGCTTACACATAACAAACTGAAACATTTCTATTATTCAAATCCGTTAAAGGATTTTTAGGCTGCATTAATTAGGACAACCGGAACCGGGAAAACTTCCCATAACACCTGATGTACATGCTACATCTTTAGAAGAATGGCATCTACGCTAATATTAGTCTGTTTCCTTCTTATTCCGAGGTCACTGTAGCTTACTGTTAAATTCTGAAAAAAATAGAGGTGTTAAATATAGGACCAAAAACCTCCACATGTGATGACCTAGAACACTGTCTAATACTTGATGGCTGCTCTGTCAAATTTTCAGCATCAGTTAGGAACCTAGGTGTGCTATTTGATAGCAATCTTTCCTTCGAAAACCACGTTTCTAGCATTTGTAAAACCACATTTTTCCATCTCCAAAATATATCTAAATTACGACCTATGCTCTCAATGGCAAATGCAGAAATGGTAATTCATGCGTTCATGACCTCAAGGTTAGATTATTGTAATGCTCTATTGGGTGGTTGCTCTGCGCACTTAATAAACAAACTTCAGCTGGTTCAAAATGCAGCAGCTAGAGTTCTTACTAGAACCAAGAAGTACGACCATATTAGCCGGTTCTGTCAACACTGCACTGGCTCCCTATTAAACATTGTATACATTTTAAAATCTTGCTAATTACCTATAAAGCCCTGAATGGTTTTGCACCTCAGTATTTAAGCGAGCTCTTATTGCATTGTAGCCTTTCACATCTGCTACGATCTCAAAACTCTGGCCATTTTATAATACCTAGAATATCTAAATCAACTGCGGGTGGCAGATCCTTTTCCTATTTAGCTCCCAAACTCTGGAATAATCTACCTAATGCTGTTCGGGAGGCAGACACACTCTGTCAGTTTAAATCTAGATTAAAGACCCATCTCTTTAACCTGGCTTACACATAACAAACTGAAACATTTCTATTATTCAAATCCGTTAAAGGATTTTTAGGCTGCATTAATTAGGACAACCGGAACCGGGAAAACTTCCCATAACACCTGATGTACATGCTACATCTTTAGAAGAATGGCATCTACGCTAATATTAGTCTGTTTCCTTCTTATTCCGAGGTCACTGTAGCCACCAGATCCAGTCTGTATCCAGATCAGATGGTCACTGCAGTCACCCGGATCCAGTCCGTATCCAGCCCAGATGGTGGATCAGCCCCTAGAGAGGACTTCTACAGCCCTGAATGTCAGCGGAGATCAGGACAACTAGATGAGCCACAAAGACAGATCCCCAGTGAGGACCTTGTCTCTTAGCCGGCCACCGGGACAAGACCACAGGAACCAGTTGAGTCCTCTGCACAATGTGACATTGCTGCAGCCTGGAATTGAACTGCTGATTTCGTCTGGTCAGAGGAAAACTGGACCACCGACTGAGCCTGGTTTCTCCCAAGGTTTTTTTCTCCATTCTGTCACCGATGGGAGTTTCGATTCCTTGTCGCTGTCACCTCTGGCTTGCTTAGTTGGGGACACTTAATTTCCAGCGATATCGTCGACTTAATTGCACAGACAATATTTAAACTGAACTGAGCTGAATGATGACATCATTGAATTCAATGATGAACTGCCTTTAACTGAAAATTGACTGTTTACTATTATCATTTTGCATTATTGACACAATGTTTTCCTAATTAATGCTGTACAGTTGCTTTGACACAATCTGTATTGTTAAAAGCGCTATATAAATAAAGGTGACTTGACTTGACTTGACACAAGAACCTTCAATATCTCCGAGATGCAAAAAGACTCAATCCCCGCCAAGCCCGCTGGGCACTGTTCTTCACCAGGTTTCACTTCACCTTCACCTACCGGCCTGGCAATCGTAACTGTAAGGTGGACGCATTGTCACGAATCCATTCACCAGATTCACCCTCAGAACCTGAGCCAATTCTCCCTCCAGCCCTGATTGTAAGTCCCATTGTGTGTAATATCATCAAGGACATCCAAGCCGCCACTCTCACCGAACCAGCTCCGCTGGGAGGCCCAGAAGGGAAGACGTATGTTCCCACATCTCAACAACTACCCCTTCTGGGCTCAGTTCACATTGTTCCGGGCTCTGGACATCCAGGCAGCCAACGGACCCTCTCGCTCCTCCAAGCTCAGTACTGGTGGCCCAGTATGTCCTGTGACGTCATCAGGTACGTTCGAGGGTGCTCAGCCTGTGCCATGTCTAAATCTCCTAGTCACCTCCGCGTAGGCAAGCTCATGCCACTACCCATACCTCAGCAAACGTGGTCTCACATGGGAACTGACTTCATAACTGACTTACTCAACTCTGAAGGCAACACCTGCATCCTAGTGGCAGTAGATCGCTTTTCGAAAGCCTGCAGACTGATTCCCCTCAAGGGATTACCCACGGCGCTAGAAACTGCTGAATCTCTATTCACACATGTCTTCAGGAATTACGGAGTCCCAGAGGATATCGTCTCGGACCGGGGGCCGCAATTAATTTCCCACGTTTGGAAAGCGTTCTTTTGACTGCTAGGGGTCACAGTGAGCTTGTCGTCCGGTTATCATCCCCAGACTAACAGCCAGACTGAGTGCAAGATCCAGGAACTCAGGCGTTACCTCCGGGCATACTGCCAAGATGACCAGCACAGCTGGGCCTGCTTCCTCCCATGGGCCGAGTATGCACAAAACTCCCTCCGACAAAACTTCACGCCTTTCCAGTGCACACTTGGCTACCAACCCCCACTCTTCCTGTGGACCGAAGAACCATCGGAGGTCTCAGCTGTGGACTACATGTTCCGAGCGAGCGAGAGAGTGTGGGACTCAGCTCATGTCCACCTTCAACGTGCAGTGCAGAGGCACAAAACATTTACTGACGCCCGGCGTTCCTCGACTCCCACTTACCAGCCTGGAGAGAAAGTATGGCTGTCAACCCGGGATCTGCGCCTCCACCTGCCTTGCAATAAGCTGAGTCCCCGTTAAATGGGTCCGTTCCCGATACAGAGGCAGATTAATGATGTCACCTACCAGCTCCAACTTCCACCCAGGTACAGAATTCACCCTACTTTTCACATGTCCCTCCTTAAAACCTTCTCTCCTTCTGCACCAGAACCCACGGAACCAGATGAACCTCCTCCTCTAGAGATCCTAGAGCAGCCATCCATCTATCAGGTCAAGGATATCCTGGATTCGTGGCGGCGGGGCAGCCGGCTGGAGTACCTGGTAGATTGGGAAGGATATGGACCAGAGAAAATATCCTGGGTGGTCCGGGACGACATCCTTGGCCCCATACTGCTAGAAGAGTTCCATCGGACCCATCCTAATCGTCCCGCACCCAGAGGCCGTGGTCGCCCCCGTCGCCGCTTAAGGGCGTCAGGAGCCGCCCTTGGAGGAGATGGTAATGTCAGCGAATCACCACAATCACCAGCCACAACACCAGATCATGCTCACCTGAGTTCTGATTCCCTGCACCTGTCGTCTGCAATCTAGTCACCATTCATAAGCACGCTCCTTCCAGTCACCTGCCGGTCTACCGTTCACTACACTGAACTTAACCAGACTCTCTGAATGCTACTTTACCTGTTTATACTTACCCCTACATCCCTGAAGTTCTTCCTACGTTGCTCTCCTCCACTCCTGGATCCCGAACCCTCTGCTAACCTGAAAAGGAACCAAACATCAGTACTCAGCTAAGATACATTGAACTGTCATTTGTGTTGGATACTCACCAGTCATTGCTCCAGTCGATCTGCTTCAGTCATACCTGTTAATAAACCTGCTATTCATTCACTTACCTGTTGTCTCCGGCTTGATCTGTGACAGATACATCGTTAGATGGCATCTACGCTAATATTAGTCTGTTTCTTTCTTATTCCGAGGTCACCGTAGCCAACAAATCCAGTCTGTATCCAGATCAGATGGTGCATCAGCACCTAGAGATAACCTCGACAGCCCTGAATGTCAGCGGTGACCAGGAATACTAGATGAGCCCCAGAGACAGATCCCCTCCGAAGACCTCATCATCTAGACGGCCATCGGGACAAGACCACGGGAACCAGATGAGTCCTCTGCACAATCCAACTTTGTTGCTAGAATTAAACTGCTGGTCTCGTCTGGCCAGAGGAGAACAGCACACTATTTTGACTCCCTATTTCCATTTTTAATACTGTAAAGCTGCATTGACACAATCTACATTGTAAAAAGAGCTATATAAATAACGTTGACTTGACTTGACTCAAATACCTAAGTGTAAATAGTGTTAGATGCTGTTTATATATAGTGCAAATACTGGAAGACATTATTTGCACTTCAGTTTATTGTAATGCATTACAAAATAGTTTTCCATAACAAAATATTCAGTGTATATTTATTTAAGTCATAAATGGATGGAACCTTACTTGTCCCTATCCCTAAAGGCCACCCTAACAATGCTAACTTAAACCTTATTCAACCAGTAAATATGTCCTCAAAGATACAGGAAGAGAGCCACGATTTTAAGTGTGGTAGCAATATGAGCTGCACGCATCCAGTTGGTGCCCAGCCCATCGGATCAATGTGAGGACACCACATCCAGTTTCAATTATAAGCCTATTAAATAATCGTTAGGCACATTATTCCCACTATTATACATCCGTTAGGCACTTTATTTCCACTTTTTGCATATTTTCTTTATTTTTTATTTAAAATAAACACCTCTCAGAGCTGATATGCAACAGGAATATGGTGAAGAATTAGATTGGAAAAAGGTGGATATAAACACCTTTGGGTCGGTCACGTCAAAAGCTAAATATACTGTCTTTAATTAGCGTAAATGGCCTTTGCTAAAAAGACAAGCTATTTGCACTTAGTGTAAATACACAGCCCATTTTATAGTTTACAGACACTGTAATTTTACTGTATATTTTAAACATGAACATGTCTAAATGTGAATGTGTTGATAGTGTAGATTATTCAAAAATAACTTACTCCAGGAGTTTCTTTCCATGCTCTCGTTCATGCATGCTGTTCTGGAGATCTATTTTCAGAGTCTTCACCTCCTCCATTAGGCCTGTAAAAACATCAAGAACAAAAAAAACAGTCAAGTACCCTGTTAAAAGTCAAAAACAGGACACCACATACCCTTAACAGGCTGCATTGTTGGTCAGGTGACTAAGATATGCTTCAGGAAACTAATGTTATGTGAAGATATGTGTGCCATAATAAATCCAACTTGGTTCAACATCTACTGTTGGCAAAAGTTAAAAACTAATTTTTGTTTCACTGTCTTTTGTCACTTGCTATAAATGTTCATCTGGGTTTCTTCCCTCATTCATCTGTTTCCTCCTGTGCCAATAAATGTAATTCTCTCTCTCTCTCTCTCTCTCTCTCTCGCTTGCTGCTTTGTATCTCTCTTGAAGCACTGAAGCATAATCTGGTGCCTATCGGTTGCCAGCAGCAATAATTGAGGGTGAACTCTACACCCAAACACAGGCCAGTGAAAGCATTCGCATTCATCATCTCAGCTCGGTGACATCCGATGCAGCATTCAGGAGACCGTATTCACTCGGCCCTGCTCTCATTATCGTGAAGAGGGCAGAGAGACAGGAAAAACGGCCAAGAATTTGAAACAGGAGACATTTTAAAAGACAAGAGGGAGGAGAGGATGACAGGAAACTGTAGGAGTCAGACCAGCCACAGATTTAGAGTTGTGCTACTGCAGTCACCCGACATGTAGGACATCTAACCCACAAATTATGGGCATACAAGCCTATCTTCATCTGGTTTTGTATGATGACAGCATTGAGTATCTTCAGTGGCCTCAAAACATATTCAGACACTTAAAATCTATGTCATTTAATTATACAACAAACCTAAAAGGCATCTACAACCAAAAGATGTTAGAGCTTTTCTCAGAATGAATGCTACGTGTAATCATATTTGCAGTTATTTTTAACTAGCTGGTGTCAAGGTGATTTTTAGTGGCTGCATGAAATCAGTTCCTCTCAAACCCACACAGGACACTGTGAACATGTTCCACTAACATTTAACAACCAGAATGTGGACAAATACCTTCCATACAGTCACGGAAACCTGGAAAGAGCAAACCTGCATGCAATGTTCAATTTGTGAGTAAATTGTTTTTTTGAGGCAGATCATTGTAAATAAATCGGTCAAACTAGTTCACAAAATGGCCTTAATGTTTATAGAATCAAGCGGAATTAAAATAACTCCGACACTTAACAATAAGGTCTCATTTGTTAATATTAGTTAATGCATTAACTAACATGAACTAACAAAGAACAATATATTTTTACCTTAACTGTTCCCTGCTGATGGAATGACCTGCCCAACTCGATCCAAACTGTTTTAGCCATCTTCAAGAACCATCTAAAAGCACATCTCTTCCATCTACACTTGACCCTCTATCACTAGAACTCTGTATTCTATTTCTATTCTATCTACTTGTTTTCTTTTTAATTATTATAAAAATAACTTGACCGTGACTTGACTTTTTGAACTTAATATTAACTAAGATTAATAAATGCTATATAAATATTGTTCATGTTAACTAACATAGTTAATTATTTCTAGCAAATGAAACCTTATTGTAAAGTATTACCAAAATAACTTTTTTTTAAATAATTTAATGAAATGCTGCATTTTAATTGTGATTTAAGCACCTTTGGTTTAATCTCACTTAAAAGAGAAATACTATTTGAAATGAATTATCCTCAAGAAATGTCAATTCATCATGTAAAAATGACTGTAAAAATGTCTTGCCAAAAATCTAGAAAATATCATTCAAATAAGATTAATTATAAGTCAAATATATTGTGCAATATGAATTAAATGAAACTGACTAGGTAACACCAACAAATCATTTTTTTTAAATATTGTCCTATTGACTACAGTATATTTGAACTACAGGTGCATCTCAATAAATTAGAATGTCGTGGAAAAGTTCATTTATTTCAGTAATTCAACTCAAATAGCGAAACTCGTGTATTAAATAAATTCAATGCACACAGACTGAAGTAGTTCAAGTCTTTGGTTCTTTTAATTGTGATGATTTTGGCTCACATTTAACAAAAACCCACCAATTCACTATCTCAACAAATTAGAATACTTCATAAGACCAATAAAAAAAACATTTTTAGTGAATTGTTGGCCTTCTGAAAAGTATGTTCATTTACTGCACATGTACTCAATACTTGGTAGGGGCTCCTTTTGCTTTAATTACTGCCTCAATTCGGTGTGGCATGGAGGTGATCAGTTTGTGGCACTGCTGAGGTGGTATGGAAGCCCAGGTTTCTTTGACAGTGGCCTTCAGCTCATCTGCATTTTTTGGTCTCTTGTTTCTCATTTTCCTCTTGACAATACCCAATAGATTCTCTATGGGGTTCAGGTCAGGCAAGTTTGCAGGCCAGTCAAGCACACCAACACCATGGTCATTCAACCAACTTTTGGTGCTTTTGGCAGTGTGAAGGAAGCATGAAGTGCTCCAAAATTTCTTGGTAAACGGGTGCAGTGACGTTGGTTTTCA